CTGGGGCCTCCAGGTCCAGGGCGGGGAGGAACCAGCAGGAAGGAGCTGCTCTGGGGTCAGGAGCCAGGACCCAGCCAGATCCTTTGGTGGCTCTCCTTGTGGAGTGAGAGCCCAGCAGGAAACCTCTTCAGGCTGGGAAGGGACAGAAGGTTCTCTCCTGCCCTTGTCACCATGGCAACCTCAGCTCAGGAGTCCTGCAGACAGAGGACAGTGCTCTTCCCAGGCCCTGCCAGCAGGGGCGCTGCCCTCTCAGGCCTCCTGCTGTGGCTCCCAAGTGAGAAGAAAAGCTCTGAGGCCACAGGAGCCAAAGCTGCTTTAGAGCTGCCTCTCACCAGGCGGGAGGAGACCCTGAAGTGTAAGGGGCCAGAGCCCCACCCAGGCTCCCCCCTACCTGTCCCCTGGCTCGTCCCCTGCACCTTCTGTTCTAGGGAAACCCAATGCGTCCCTGAGAGAGGATTATAGAGTGTTACCTGTGGGCTGAAGTCCAGAGTGTCCTGGGAAAGAGAAGGAAGATGCCACTTAAAAGATAGGAAGGTAAGTGTGACCCCAAACACAGGGTCCCCGCCCAGGCCACCTGAGCTTCTCTAGCAGCACCCCCACCCACTGACACCAGAGCAGGATGAGAGCAGAAGCTGAGAGCAGTGACCCCGAAGCTGTCACATCCAGTGTCATTAGTGACCGCATGGCCTGCTCCTCCATGTACCCCAGGATCTGCACCCAAAACCCCTGCATCTTAACCCTTCTCTAACCCCACAGCCATGATTACTCATGTCTACAGCCTAAGTAACAAGAGCTGGTTATTTCTGCATTTCCAGGACAAGTGAGACGGACAGGGAGAGAGAGGCTTCATGGTGTTGCCATACCCTGAGCTCACCCAGCAAAGCCCCAGTTCTCCCCATTGTCTTGGGACCTTGGCTGCCAGCAGGCTCCTTACCTTTCTGAGCCCTGAAGTAGATGAGCAGCCCCGCCCCGAGGAAGAGCAGCCCCAGCACGAAGCCGCTGGCTCCACTCAGCACCTTGCTCTGTGCGGATCCAGACTGGGCTCCTGAGAGAAGAAGCTGGTTTCAATGGGTTTTGGTCCAAAGCAACTTCTCTAATGGAGACCCTGGGATTGCGAGCTAGGGGAAGTGGGGGGGGAGCGGCAGGGAGGGGAGCTGCCCTAGAAGAAGCAGAACAATAGCCATTTCCACAAAGGGACTGAGGTCACACTGAGCAGGTACAAGGCTCATGCACTGGCTTCAGGTCTCCTCACTCCCGACCTAAGGCCATTGCTTCGGCCTCTGAGGCTGCAGAGCCTGGGGCTCGTGACCTCTAGGACTTGACCCTGGTGACAGAGCCACAGACGGCACAGCAGACGGGGCTCTCCCGCGGCAGGAAGGCCCCCATGCTATGGAGGACGCCCCTCTTTCCTGATCACAGTGGGCAGCTCAGTGCAGGTAGAAGCCCCGCACAGCCCACAGGGGATGGTGCCCAGGGCCAAGGGCACCATGACAGGGAGAGTGTGGGAAATAGAGAGCAGCACAGGCATGGCGGCCTCCCAGGGCTATGGGTGTTCACAGCAGTGATCACAGGGCTACCCTGTGGCCTGTGCTGAAGGAGAGACACAAGCAAAGGAAAACACGGTGTGGGGAGAGGGGACCCTGACCCTCAGGGACAAGCAAAGGCCCTTGTGGGGGGAAGCGTGTGAGGTCAGAGGGCATCTCACTCCATTCGGTGGTGACAGGGCTGGTCCTGCTGGGGTGCCGCACTTGGCAGGTGTAGACCTCCCCGCTCTGGGGAACTGTCTCCAGCATCACCAGGGTCTGGAAGGTCCAGTCCCCGTTCCGGATCAGGCCTGTGGACACCACCCCGCCTCCTCTTCCTGGCCGTTGTGCAGCCAGCGGACCTCAATGTGGCCCGGATAGAAGCCGTTGACGGAGCAGACCAGGAGGTTGTGGTGCTGCAGGCGCTGGGTCTTTGAAGGATACACGGTCACTGTGGGCTCCGCTGGGACAGAGAAGGCGGAGGGAGAGGTGAGCAGGACAGGCAGGCCCCTGGGTGGCTCCCTTTCGGCCTCGTCTCCAGTCCCAGGCTCCAGGCTTAGGCTTTCCCCTGTCAAATCTGCCCTGTGGCCCCGCAGGAGGTAGTGCCATGGGCCTTGAATCTCTGCCTACAGCCCAGGCCCCAGGATTTGAGAGACATTGAGGAAATTTGGGGGATTTTTCATATCTTGAAACAGTTACTCATCATTGAATTGAAGTGTTTACAAATCTTTGCAAGGCACAGAGTGTGTGCGTTCCAGTGTGATTTCTGGAGCAGGACTGCCTGGTCACATCCAGGCTGTGCCTCTTACTGGGTGATCCTGGGAGACCCTTTCTGCTCAGCTCCTCACCTGCAAAGGGGGTGATAATACTAACTCACCGCTTAAGGACGTATGAGGACCAATGGGCCTGAAACATGTACAACAGCGGCTGGAATGTAGCCGTCACTCTATGTCAGCTGTTTATCACATGAGGAGGAGGAGGAGGCGGAGCTTGTGGAAAACATTTTTACTGCACCTCAAAAGAGTAGATTTAAGATTTATGGTAAGTGATCGCTAGCGACTTCTGAGTGCATTTCATCACCTTAAAAATGTTTAAATTCTTAACATGGAAAGTAATAAAACAGAATCAAAAAACAAGATAGGAGCTGGAGAAAATGCTGAATCCATGTTAGCAAAATGTCCATCTTGCTGCCTAGAAAACCTGGAAAATCACTGAGAAAAAGGACCGGACCCCAGGGATTTATAATTGTCTCTTTTCAAGCTGACATTTGAACTCAGGGCAGGGGCTGGTGCTCATTAACATGTGTGCTTCCTGCCTGAGGCCAGTCCCAATAAATACAGATATGGAGGTGGAGGAGGAAGAGGAAGTGAAGGATAAGGAGGAAAAAGGGGAGGAAGAGGAGGAGGAGGAGGACTAGGAGAAGGAGGAAGAGGAGAAGAGGAGGAGGTGAAGGGGAAGGAGGAGGAGGAGGAGGAGGAGGAGGAGGAGGAGGAGGCGGAGCTTGTGGAAAACATTTTTACTGCACCTCAAAAGAGTAGATTTAAGATTTATGGTAAGTGATCGCTAGCGACTTCTGAGTGCATTTCATCACCTTAAAAATGTTTAAATTCTTAACATGGAAAGTAATAAAACAGAATCAAAAAACAAGATAGGAGCTGGAGAAAATGCTGAATCCATGTTAGCAAAGTGTCCATCTTGCTGCCTAGAAAACCTGGAAAATCACTGAGAAAAAGGACCGGACCCCAGGGATGACGGACAACAGGCCATTCCTAGAGCAGGAACAGCCATTGGCCAACACAAAGGTGAAAAGTGTTCAAGAAACTTAGATGTCAAAGAAGGATAAATTTAAAGTAAAAAACAATTTTTCACCTGAGTGTTTGGCAATATTGAATAAGATTAAAACAGAATGCAAAGTAGATTGTCAGAACTCTAAACAGTTAACATGTGATTACTTAAATGCTGTCAGCCTGTGTAGATGTGACATCAGTGTGTTAAGTAACACAATTACAATTAGACCCTGGCTCCCCATCACCCCCTCTGTAAACACAGGGCCACTGAGTGGGGAACAAGACACTGAGACCTGAAAGGAGCTCAGAGAGGCCAGAGGTGCCTCGGCGGCCCCGCGCCTCACACCCAGCCTGACCCTCTGCCCAGGGACAGGCTTGGGCACCCAGCACCCCTATTCCAGGGCTCAGGGTCAGGGGGGGTGTTGGCCAACACAGACCGACACCCTCTTCCCACCTCCGCCCCTCCCTCCCCGCTGCTCCCCAAACCCTCCCCCGACTGGACACGACTGGACACCCCCGGAAACTCCCAACAGAGGACAGGACCTCAGGGTCCCACAGCCGCCCTCAGGCCCCTCAGGGTGCTCCTCACAGCCCTGTGTGCGCACCCCCGCACCTCACTCCACTCCTCCCCCGCCCCCGTGCTCACTTTGCCTATGCACCAGGAATCCATCCAACACCCTGTAGGCCTCTCTGCAGAACGTGTCCACCTCGGCCCGCTTCTGCTCCAGGCTGTCCTTCTGGCTGTTCCAGGCCTCAGCGTCCGGCCGCCCCAGCTCGGTCACGGCGTGGTACTCCCCCACGTCGCTGTCGAAGCGCACGTCCTCCTGCCCATTGTGGATGTATCTCTGCAGGTACCGCACCCGCTCTGTCCCGTTGGAGAAATGACACTCGCTCTTTAACTGCTCCAGGAAATGCGCTGAGGGGACAGTAAGGACCATCAT